AGGGCAGTCCTGTAGGGCTGCAACAAACAATTATTTTCATTCTCGAGCAGTTGTTTGGTCAATGAAATGTCAGTAAATGGTGAAAAATGTCATTTAGTGTTTCCCAAAGGCCAAGACTACATCCTCAAATGTCTTGTTTTGTCCACAACCCAAAGATATTCAGTTTACTGTCATAGAGGAGCAAAGAAACCAGAAAATATTTACATTTCAGATGCAGAATTCAGATTGACTTTTTGTTTTTCCAAAGTCATTTTGTCAAAATAGTTGGTGATTAATTTAGTAGCTGACAACTAATCGATAAATCATTGCAGCTCTACATTCCGGTGCCTTTTAGCATTCTGATATAAATGCTTAACAGAATTGGGATAATACAGCCATCCAATTCAAGGACATAAAATAAAATGGTGAAAATCCCTACATGTGTCATCACACAGGGCTGAATAAACCCAAGCTGAAAAGTCCATAACAGAGGAAAACAGGTTTAAACTACCACATTGTTTCCATGCTTTGATGGAAGAGGATAACTTTATACTATTGCAAGAAAAGAATAGCCTTTACATCACAGCTTGTATGCAGCAGGTAGTGCGAAAGCAGAGCTAATTAACTGCATGAAACTGTAACATTGCATCCTGTTGCGATATTACTACTAGCGACATTCAAAACACAATGTCAATAAAGTAAAACATTTTGCAGCCCCACCGAAGACACAGATTTGTGGCATAGCCCTGTCAAACAGTATGAATTCAAGTTATCTGTGTCCTTTCTTCCTACAACAAATGACAGCATAGTTAGTGAGGCAGAAAAGCGCATGATGCAATAAGCAGCTACAGTATTGTACTTGCATTTGACAATAGTCTTTTATAACTGCAGCATTATCAGGTAAACTTTATATCCCTCGAACTGTAGCAGAGGCTCCTTCCAAAGTAAACTGCCTCAAGAAAGCTGTAGTTTCAGGCTGCAATTAACAATTACTGTAACAGTTGATTAAACCAGAGGGCAGCATCTTAAATTCCCCTGCATGCCGAATTTAAGATGCTGCCCTCTGGTTCCCGCTTCAGTCAACCACCAGTCAAAACTAACAGATATAAACTCTCCTTCACACCCTCTGCCATTTCTCTGCAACGAATAGTTAACGTCTGCACATAAGGCACACATGTTTTTAAATATCTATATGTCTAACCCTGTATTTTTAATTTGTAGTTGTCTTGTTTTAATGTTTTATTGCTACTGAGGCAAAACTAAATGCCCTTCGGGGACAAATAAAGATCTTGAATAGAATTATTTCACTCTACTCTACTTGAAGATGTATTTTCTCTTCTTTCCTAGAAAATGTGGAAGACAGACAGTGAAAAGTCAAGGTCTGACGGCAGTGTCAGGTATACATTCAAACATTTTGTTTGGTCACATTGTAATGCTACACATCACTTTTAATGTGACGTGGTGTACATTTAGAGAGGAATATCACACATCCTTGTGTATATTGATATGGGAGCAGTCATTTCATGAAAGTCCACTCCTTAGTCACAGTTTACTTACGTTGCTCTTTGTGTCTATGGCAGGCTCTTGGGGGTTAACACAGGCATGGGCTATTTTAATGACATGCTCCAGCTTCCTTGGCTGCTCCTCAACTTTAGCTGCCAGGAACAACGTAGTTTGGGAAATTATCTACAGAGGGTGGGAGAAAAAGTCAGTTTTCATGCTTGGTCCCACCGGGATTTCTGGTATCAGCCAACACTGCAGTGATACTTACATTTCTATGGAATTTTGTGAAGGAGTGAATCATATAAAACCTATGCATATATACTATAGCAGTGTTGATAATCAGTTGAGAGCTGGGTGTATAGTTAAGGCATAATACGTGGATATTATACAGAAAAACACAAATTGACTCTAAGAGCTTTCTTGTACAAACCATGGCACATTAGCATCCGGCTAGCGTTCAATGGACAGCTAGCAAAACGTGCACCCGGCGGGTTAAAACCAATAATCAAGTCTTTACGTATACAACTATGTAGTAAACGTCCTTTTGTAACTACGTATTATGTTTAAATTTTACACAGTAACGTTTTCAGTGGTATTTTTTTTTATCGCTGGTATCATTAGACACAAAGCTAACAATGGGCTCTGCGCTCTAAAGAGACAAAACAATAGCTAAGCTAGCAAGCAGGCCTCAACACTTCCAGGTAGCTACATATAAACACCATATTGGCTGAGTTTAACAGCTCATATCGTCGGAGAGGACTCTATCCATGATAAAGAAAGGTTTTCAGTGTGTTTCGATAGTTATAATATGAGCTAAAACAAGCCCCGACATCCCGGCCCTTCTGTAACCTGCTGCTAAGCCGAGCTAACCCGTCTGTCGGCCAGCTAGCTTGGAGTTTCAGAAAGGATACACGTTGAGTCTCTGGCCTATATCTTGGATTAAGTTGGCGGCCTGCTGCCGGTAAGAGAGCTCCCTGTCAGCCTCTATTCCGCAGCGGCGAGACGGTGTGTTTTCGAGCTGCTCCCGGGTGAAGAGCCATTTCGTAGAGGGTCCCCGGTGCACCGCCATTACGCTCCCACAGCCAAGCCCGACGGCGTTAGCATCGGGAGGGAGTGGGGCGATGGGGCACCGGAAGGACGAAAAGAACAGCCGTAGCTGTTTATAACCGGTTAGCCCGTTTCCGAACAGCGCCACCGGTGGTCGGTGGTGCAAATAACACCTGTTGTGGTCTGATAACATTAAGCCCACAACAAAATACCTTTATTTAAATGTATAGTAGATGTATTTATCCCCGTCTGTTCCTTTCCTAGTTGATTAATCAAAGAGCAAACAGCAGCTAGGGTTGAAATATCCAGATTTCAATCTTCCAGCCCTCCAGGACCTGCACGCCTCCAGGACTGTGGCCCGCACACACTGTTTCAGACACTCACTGTTTGTGGGGGGCAGAGGCTCAGTGGGTGTAGCAGTCGTAACTAACTGGTTTGATCCCCAGTTAATGACACTGAACCCCAAATTGCTCCCAGCGGCTGTGCCGTTGGTGTGTCAGTGTAAGTGTATTGTTATGTGTTATTTTCGTTCAGTGTGTAAATGGGAAATAATGTAAAACGCTTTGAGTTGTTGCAAAAAATAGAAAGGCCTCATACAAGTCCATCAGGACCAAAACCTCACACCAGACCTCATGCCACATGCGTCTTCAACAAGGCCCAGGCCCCCACCACCACCACCACTAGTACCACCACCACACCTGACCCTACACGCTACAACAACACACAACTTTGAACTGTGTACATTGCACTAATTCTTTATGTGAATTTTTGCACATTCCTTATTGATTATCTACCTATTAGTATTATAGTGTTATTGTATTATTTTGTATACTTGTACATTTTTGATCTCTTTACTTTATATATATATTTCTGTATTTATGTTTATGTGTACTGTTAAGCAACAATATATCCCAAGGCAAATTCCTTTGTGAAAATGTACCTGCCAGTAAACCTGATTCAGAGTTCGGATTAGCCATTAGGGGTCACAGCTGTACTTTGGGCCATTCTTGTATTATTTTTACTGTAAAGCCCAGAAGAGCCCTTAGAAATGGTTCTTATGGGCTAGAAGAGTCCAGGTGAACCATCTTTTTATGAATGGATTATGCAGCTAGGCGAGGTTCCTTCATTTAAGGCGAGACACTACAGGTGAATAGAGTAAAAAAAAAAAAAAACATTTTCTAACAGATATCACCATGAAATTTCCTAGTTAATTACTTACATTAAGACAATACCTTTTTATATTAAAGGTTTTCTGAAATGTTATGTTTAATCATGCAAATGAGGCAGTATCTAATTAACGGCAAGGTTCCTTCATTTAAAGAAAAATCCGAATAAAAGGAGATTTGACTGATCATTACCTCTTTCTTTCCCCTGCATTACTCTCTTTCTGCCACTAAAGGGAAGCAGAGACCAACAACAAAAGTCAAGCTCAGTGAGCCTCTGCCCCAACTGCTCTAACAAAACAAGACAAATGTGAAGAGTAGATTTAGCTGCATAGGTCTACTGTATAAGACTCTTATCAGAAAGCTGCATGTAACTTAATATTAACCTGTTGAGTCTGTTTATTAAAATGTCAAAATTGCTTGCATGAATCGGTCATAGAGATACATTATTTCAATAATAAATATTTATAAAATCCCAATTGTGCTCTTTTGTAAAGATCCAGGTATTGATTGTGTCCAGTACTATACTTAATAATATCAAAGGTTGTCTAGTCAATTGACAGTTCAGTCTTCAGCGTCTGCCTACTGTGTGAAATGTAGCCTAATTTGGTTTGTTTGTTCCATCCTCACATTTCAAAGAATTCACCTACATGTAGAAATAAGTGGACGCATTATCATTTGTAAATTAACCTCACATCGTGTCACGGTTTTAATCTAAGCAGAATAACCTATAGTCTAGCCTACAATTGCTTATCAAACAACAAGTTACAGGAATCATGTTACTTCCCCCGGTGTGGTGGGTTTGATTGCAGAAAAGTAAAGTAAGACACTGGTCTGTGTGACGGGTTGCTGCTCAGGAGGATAAATCGTTGTAGCTGATTTATTATTACGAAATTAGCTTTCAAGCAGCGTAGCTACGTGACAGGTGAGTAACGGGTCCAGACCGTCTGCGCGTCCGCTAACTCGCGCAATCCACACGGGACAGATGTTTTCCTCGCGGACACGGAGCTCGGGGCGCGCGGCGCAGCAGCAGTTTTGTTCGACTCCAGCTCGAGCCCACGTCTCGTGAACTCCGCAAGGATTAGTAATTAAGACTTCAGGTGTAGCTATTCCACGACGCGAAGTGGACCCTATTGTGAATATTTTGTTAATGCATGTCCAGACTGCGCGCATCAGGTTTGTCAGCATGCAGACATGGCCAAGGTTACTAGTGCCGGTCACCACCTTCAAAATAAATAGCCTGCCTACTGCTCTCTATTTTTACATAGCCTAAGTACTTCTAAGATTTTTACTTAAAGCTATAGGATGTAGGGTAACTTCTGAAAAAGAAAATAAAACATTCTTCTTTGTACAAACGAATAGTTAAATTCCTTTGCCAAACACACACAGGAGGGGTTTACTGCTACAACCTTAAATGGTCTGGTTTGACCTGTGCAGCATATAGGGGTTAATTTTAACAATCTTAAGAGTGTTAGGATAGGCTATATATAATAGCTTATTGGACTATTATTTTTACCTCGCTGACAAATTGATATGTAAGCAGCATTTTAATGTTCGAGATAGAGACACATTTAAGTACGTAATACACCTTTGGGCAATTTATCTATAAGAATGTGTGCTATTTCATACAAATAGAGAGATATTTCCTACTCTTTATTCAGGCGATGAATTGGCGTTTGTTTTGAAGTCCGCACCAATTTCCGGTATTGTTTCACCTTACAGTGTGTAATTTGGCGCAACTGGACCTGCAGCCCTGCAAGGAGTCTCCCTCCCTGCCATCCCTCCCTCTCTGTCTCTGGGTCTCTCCCCAATTCAAAGCCTGCACCTCTCGCCCAGGTGTGACATTTTTGTACTGCCTTATTGGAATCGCAACCCCAGGAGAAGATGACGGACTCCACACCGCCAGACTCCACCGCCGTCCCGGACCCGGCCGTAGTAGGGGAACACACGGCTGCGAACGGGCAGTGCGAGCAGGCAGACTCCCAGCAGCAGCAGCAGCAGCAGCCCAACACAGAAAGTCAGGGAGAGGGTTTCAAGATGGACCAAGAGATGAAGATAACAGAGAGCATAGAGGACCGAGGTAGGCGGTGTGAAATATGTTTAAAGTTCACCGGATGCCCCGTCGCCAGGGCGCATTCTGTGCGTAATGCCACGGAGAGTAGCGCGATATATGTTTTAGCTACTGTACACGCGCTGCATCTGTTAACACTTGCATTTATTCAACTATAATGAAAAGTAATGCTCGTCTATTTCCTTTAATTTGCCCCAAATGTTCCACACAGCGCACAAATACGACTTAATGGAGTGGTGTAACTGATGACTGACACCTTAATGTTATGGTCAATATGATCAATTATTTACAGAGCTGGGTAGAAATGGAATACTTGCTGTGATTACATTTTTTTGTGTGAATAAATTTGCAAATTGCCTATGGGACTGAGGGAAATCCACAGGCAGCCATTTAAAATGTGGCATGTGCTCCACATCTTAAGTAACTAATCAGATATTCATCTAAAATGCAGAGACATTACTTTCATTTGGACAGTATTGTGAAATATAGGGATCTTTGGTGGATTCTGATGAGGTGACTCCTCACTGTATTGGAATGGATGTATTTTGAAAGATCCTTCCCAACCCTGATTATTATTAGATTAGATTAGAAGATTGGTTCTGAATGTTTCAGACAATGTTTCTACATAACAATCCTGTAACTTTGAGCAAAACCAAAGCAGACACATGTGTTTTTATGAATGGATAACTCAAGCACATTTCAAGCCTCTGGAAGTGAAAACTAGCTGCCTGGAAGGTGTGAAAGACACAATTACAGGTACCTCATTGAGTTTTCACAGTCATTGAATCATCCCACATGTATTTACCCTGGAAAAAAATTAAAATAACTTTTCTATTTTAATTAACACTACATGGGGCTAAGATCAATTGATAGAACCCCTTAAAGCAATGGTTAGTTGCTGTCTGTGAATTGTCAGCAGCTCCATCAAAGAGACATTCTACTCTAAACTTCTTACATGGTTTCATTTAAATAACTGTTGGACTCCCTCTCCCTGTTTTCTTATACTGCTCTTTGAATCATATCTGTATTTCCTGGGTCAATGTGCCCTGTGTTACTGCCTGCAGGTCTTCTGGAAAGCAGTATGCGTCTGAAGCCGCATGAAGCACAGAGTTACCGCAAGAAAGCTCTATGGGTGTCCTGGGTGTCCATAGCGGTGACCATAGTCCTGGCCATCACCGCTTTCAGTGAGTAACACTCCTTTGATAAAACCTCTTGCTCACGGGAAGCGATTCTTTTAACATTTGTGTGCAAGAAACAAAAGTGATCTACGCAAACAAAAACCAGAAGAAATGCTGATGCCTGCTGTTTTGTCCTTCAGTTGAAGGACAGGTTTGTTAATTACTATGACACCCTGTGGATCAATGTGACACCCAACAGCCTGATTAAACAATACTTAAAACAAATGACAACATGAAGGACAAGCAATTGATGTGAACACGCTACTACACACTGCCAAGATCCTGTTTCATTACCCCCTAAACCTTAAGCCTCCCACAGCTTCCACTTCAAATGGCAATTCCTCTCCATTAAGAAAGCAACATGGAACATTTCTGCTGTCAAGAGTGTGAACTCAACCTTGGCTCTTGCTGCCGTTACTGAAGTTTATTTCTTTCAGAGGCAGGGAAAGTTTGAGCACCTGTCTTTGTCATAAGCATTTTTCTTTTTGTCGAACCTCAGCGTGTGAAGGACGATCCCCTGCGTGGATACAATGACTCATTCTGGGTTTGGAGATTGAGCAGAGGCCAGACAGAGTACTGACTGTCTCTCATACTTTTATATCACATATCATTTCTCTGCATGTCAATTGCTTCTCTCCTTAACTTTGGATCGAAGTAATTCACGCCGTAGCTCTAATTCAGGTAATGTTTCCTCACGTTTGGATTTGAAGGCCCATTTTAGAAAACCCTGCGGATTATTTAGAGATTTGACCGCCTAGGTGTCATGTAGAGATGAATATGTGTCAGATATCTTTAAGAACATGAAGTACAATTTAACAAGTGGTGCTTGAGATGCAGATTTTTGATTGTTTTAGAGATCTGACACTATCACATACTGTAATATTCAGTATTCTTCTTCCTCTGCAGTAAATGCAGGTTAAGCTTGACAGATGCCTAAGTAAAGAGGACAAGCTTTGCTGCAGTGTAGTTGATCACCTCAACATTGGTTTGCATATGTGCAGAGATATGTAGTTTCTTGTAATGCTGAAGACTAGGACTGATGACAGCAAGAAAGCATGTTCGCCTTCTTTGTTTTTGAGAATAATTGCTCATTTAGCCTGCTAAGAAAGACTTTCTACATGTGCAAACAGGCCTTTTCTCTTCACTGAACATCTTATCATGGAGTCTCTTCATTTAGACATTTCGATCACATCTCTGTGGTCCTGCAGGGGCACCCCTCACTTGTCACATCTTGCCTGCTATTTCTCACAAATGAAACATGGCGCTGCTTTCAAATCAGCTGCAGAAAAGAGCAGAGGAAGAGACAAATGTAGTGGCACTGATTGTAGTAAACAATGATCTGACTTACAGTCACACCGGGCCACTGTTATTACACACAGGTAATTGTTTCATTTCGATTTTGACGCTCTCTAGAGAAAAACAGAAGGGACTGATGAATAGCCACTGGTTCAATAATTAATTGGAGTCTTGTTTAAGGGTGAGATTAAAACTTGGAATTCAGTTTGTGGCTGCGTGGCACACGTTGACCACTTGGGTCAGAGTTAATGAAGAGACCCAGCAAGTTGTTGGAGTGAAATGGTTAAAGGACAGAGACATTTGTGTTTTGGAAATCAGAGCTTCTTCCTGTAGTTCAGTCTGCGTTGTTTCATACATTTTGCCCACTTCCTGTTCTGATAAGGAAATGTTGGTAGAGCAGCAGGACAGGCCAGTGCTACATCTTCCTTCTTTGTCATGTGTGGGTTAAGTTGCTTAAGATACATGTTCAGTACGCTCCACTCTGACAGAGGTTTAGTCATTGCAAATTGCAGAAAATTATTAACAATGCTTAAGATTTACACTACCACATTACCTTATTCCACACGGTTTACAGCAGCATAAGTTAGATTCACTCCTATCGTATCATCCCCCTTCTCTTGGTTCAACCTTCCTGTTTGGTTGACAGTGTAGGGAAAATGAACACTTATTAGCAAACAATTCACTCGATAAACACTCATTAAATGTTCTGTTAAACTGTCACTGGCTCTTTGGAACCAAGTCAGTGTGTACTGAAGGTAAAATCCTCAGTATCCCAGAGCCCCATTGTCAAAAAAGCAACATTTTAATGTGCTATGACCGTGTGACAATCCTGCTGGTAACTAGCTGTTAGCACTGCACAAAAACTCTATCCTCCTGTGTGTTTGTGAGCTCTTTAAAGTTCATTTTGAAAATTCCTTGACATGTCTGTTTTTATAAACTACACCAAATGAAACATGATTGCAAAGGCGGAAAGTACACAGAGAGAAAGTAAATAGGAAAAATAAACACAAGTACTCTTCATCACTGATGACCTGAATTATAAAGACAAAATGACTCAGTTGAAATAAGTATATCTTCACCACAAAGCAGGCTGGTTTATAAAACAGTAATGTCCAGATAAATTATGATCTTAATTTTTTCTTATTAAATGAATAGTTCAACATTTACTTTCTGGCAGAGTTGGGCAGAGAAGGAGTTTTAAAAGATTAATACAACTGAGGAATGGTATGATATTTGAATATTTGGCATGAAGTACGTCACTGGAATGCAAAACCCTATAGTCTGGCAGTGTGTTCACACTGTGGCCGACTGTAGTGGATGAAGCAACCTGCTGCTCTTCCCTGTCGGCTCTACATGTTGAAAGAATGATAGCTGCCGGGTAACATAACCTTGACCCATGACAAAAACCACAACTTTAGCATATTTGAGAGTGAGTGTGTGACTTTCATTGTGGGTCGGCAGGTGCAGCTTTAGGTTCATTGCAGAGACATTGCAGTGGGGAAAGTAGAATGTTCACGGGACTATTCACAGATACGGTGTCACTCAACAATTTAAGCAAAGAGAACAATTTTGGTCCAGTCTGACTCACCAAGTCCCATTGGCTGGTGCCAGTTTATCTGTAGAGAAAGAAAATAATTGTAAACTGGAAAAGAAGTGCATTTTAACAACAGTTAAGAGATTCTTGACTCTACTGGCTCTACTTTAGTTAACAAAAAAATTTGACATCTTGGAAAAATACACTTGTTTTGCTTCATTACTGATGTGAAGATGAGCAGATCGATATCACTATCAGACATGAAAGTGGTATAGATGTTCTCATCGAACTTAGCTATCCAGTTTAATGTAAAGAAATAAATCAAACTAATTTGCTAATTATTCCACAACAGTATGAATAAAGAAGGATTAAACTAAAGCCTTGATAAGTATTACTCTTAAAATACTATATAAATATTTTCTACCATGACACATTCTGTTGTCTGCAATCCTTCCTACAGTGAAATTAGTGGAGCAGAACTGAGTTGAAGGAATGAATGAATGAAAATGTAATCGAGGCCTTCGCTGCTGCTTTAATAACAAGGCGTATGCATATTGCAGCACAGGGAGACAAACACCATCAGTCCACCAACTGTAAAAACAACCTTGAATGCAAAGTGTTTCACTGATATGCATAATGCAGCTCCAGAAACACCCAATAAACCGGTAGAGCTCGGATGGTGTTTTATCTTCTCTTCTCCTGTTCCTCTTGTCAGATGTGACAAGGAGGGGGGAAGACGAGAGACCTCATATGTGTGTGTTTGTGTGTGTGTGTGTGTGTGTGTATCCCAGCTGACACCCACCCTGCTTTCTTGGGAGCCAATTAGCCATCGCAGGGGCTCTGCTTTGACGACTGCAGAGCCGCAAGCAGATTCATTTACACGCAATTTCTTCTTTCTGCTCCTAATGAGGTGGCTAGGAGGAGAAAAGGGAAGGAAAGAGGGGAAGAGGGAGGGAGTACATGTCTGGATTTTGGACCCCCAGCTCATGACGTTACGGGCGGATCTGTTGGCTTTCCATCCCGAATGAGATCTCTACCAACTGAAAAATCGTGTAAAATAGCATGAAAGCAATGGGACATGATTGAAGTTTGAACAAGTTAGGTAAACATGTATGTATTTCAGTCAAAAATTATATCTGCATCCATTCCCCCTTTCCACCTTTCTGTAAAGCACTTTGTAAAGTTACATATAACTTTCGTGTTTCTTTGTGCTCAGACTGTACATACATGCTCACCTCAGTTGCTGTGTCAATGTTAGTCCTTCACATGTACACTAAAGAAGAAAACATTGTGTGCCTGCTACTTTTTCCTTGCTGTGTCAACGCTGGCAGATGCGTGACACTCCCATCTCTTATGTACTTTAATTAAAAAGCTGCCAAGTTGTATTTGCTGTATCATATATCTGTTATGAGAGCTGAGGCATGCACGAGTTTGACAAGAAGAATGTCTCCACCCTGGATGCTTAAAGTAAACCGTGCCATACATGGTGTTTTCATTCCACACACTATATGAACCAAATGTACATGTGATGATGATGGTGAGAGACACTCTAACCAGTATATTTACCTGGAAAGTGGACATCTGGACATCACATAAAAGTAAAAATCCCCCAAAAAACATTTAGAGCAACAACTGTACTCATACACTACTCACGCATACATGTAAGATCAAATGGAGTTTGGAAGCATTTGTCACAGCTGTCAGTATGAGCAGGGTAAATTTGTGCCAGTTTAATCTTGCTTAAATGGATCCTGGGACCAATTAAAATGCTGTTTAATCTGAGCCCAAACCTTTAATGTGTGAACAGCAACTAAATTTATTACATATATTGTTAGCGAACACGAGGTTGAGCAACATGCTAAAGCTTGGAGGGACGGTGATATGCAGGATTCTGCCGCCTTTTTAAACAGTATACCCCTTAATTTAACATAATACGCATTGAAATCAGAAATAATCTATCCCATAAGATGGATCCTTGTTTCATTTCCAAAATCAAACAGCACAGAGCTACTTTGTGTATGAGTGCTAGAGGGAAGACGTATGTGTCTTTTTGCTAAACTGACCAAAAGTTGTTGTATAGATGATTTTTACAATCAGTTGTTGATTGTAACAACTGCCTCCATGCTGCATCTCTGCAGATCTCTTGTATCATAAAAACAATCCCACTTACTCATTTGTATTCAAGGTGTGTCCATGTGTGCTTAAGTGTTTGCAAAAGCATGTGAATGCAGCATCCATTTGTGTTTCCATTTTGATCTCGGGAAATGGATGATTGCACCTTCAGCCTAGAGAGAGGAACTGAATGTAGATGAAACCATAAAGGGAGGAAAAGAGAGGGTGATGAAAAAGGGAGCTTGGGAGACTGAAAAAAAGCGAAAGGGGGTTACACGAAGGAGGGGAAATCATTATGCTATCCTTGCAGCAGAAAGAAAATGAGCGACTGAAGGGGAAGCACAAAGAAAGAGATACCACACAATGCTGTGTTTCTGCATGCAGGGCTGAGGCGAGCTGCTGGTCCCCAGTGAGTCTCGCTAAAAATAAACCTGGGAGGAGAGGAGAGGAGAGGATTCCTCCCCTCTATCTATCTGCACCTTTCTCTCCTTTGTCTCTCCTCATTCTCTCCCACTGCAGGTGTATATGTGTTGAATTGTTACAGACAGCTGTTGTGGCGCAATGTTTGTTTTCAACAGCTCCGCATTGAGGTAAAACAGACTAATAACTAAATCTCTTCAGTCAACATCATGCATCTTTTCCGCTCTGCCAGGTTTGCTGCGCAAACTAATAAAAACTAGAAAAGCAATTCCTCCCAAAAAATGCACCTCTAGACATACAGTTTATCATAATCATCCATCACTGCAGTTAGACAGGAGAGGGCCCAGCCAGTGTGGGATCTCTCATTCAAATGAGGGATTCTCCTGATTGCCATTTTCTATTTTGCAGCTGTCACCCTTTATTTGTTTACGCACACAGGCAGTGGCAGAAAATCTCCATCCTGCTGTCAGTAGTCCCGCAAAAACAAGACTTTCATCTTGGTGTTTTAATGTCTGCGATGTCTGGGATGTAACACATCTCCTGTGAGCAGACTACAGCATGTGATTGAAAAAGACTTGGAATTACAGTAGGAAACGTGAACATAACATTTATGCAACATAATATGCAGAATATGACTATGTGTAGGAAGAAATGGATGGAAGGATGCGTGTATATGTTTTGAATAAATATCAGTGAAATAAAAACTATATGACAAGCATATTGTATCAGTATTACTTGTTGTTCAGTGTCCCTTTCTCTCTGTCTGTTTTCTTCCCAGCTGTTTCCATCATGCGCCACAGTGCTTCAGCTTTTGGATTTGCTGTAAGTTGACTGTAAAGCCTCCACGTCACTAACGCTACGATGGCTAACGCTGTATGCTGTGGTAAAGAGAATATTAAACATATGTTTTTTGTTTTCACTCTGCAGTTCGATGCCATGCTGGATGTGTTGTCCTCTGTAATTGTATTGTGGCGGTACAGCAACGCAGCAGCTGTCCACTCAGCGCACCGCGAATACATGTAAGTACAGTCACCTGGTTTATAATCAATACGGAAATTCTATAACTTTAAGAGCATTAAAACCACTAAAATGCTAAATAGGTAATGATGATAATAGATATGATGGCTTGTACAAAGGCTGCTAAAACATCCCCGTGGTGTTCTGAACACCTACCGTGTAATGCAGGTCTTTCTCTGGAAAGATTATTTGCATTTAACTGTCTCAGAATAGGGCCACGGTTAGCTCTGCTGGTAGACTGCGCGCCCCATGTACCAGGCTGGGCCCTTATCCTGTGCCCTCTCGCTCGCTCCCTCATTTCCTGTCTCTCTCCACCTGCCCTATCAGAAATAAAGGCAAAAACGCCCCCAAAAATCTTTTTATATAAACTGTCTCAGAATAAATGATAGCCGCACAAATTAGGCTGGTCAAATATGATGTATTTATACTGCTCATTTGTGGTTAGTTTTTAACTCATGTTCAGGCAGAACTAGTGTTGATTTGACAGCTTTGTTTCTGTGTATTAACTGTGTAGTACATTTTTTTAATAATAGAAGACTACTTGCAGACACCCTGCAGTTGTTTTGGCTTGCTCAGATGGTTTGATTCCATCTATGAATCCCAAACAAACCCAGAGAAGTGATGAAATCCATTTCAATGTATCCACAGTGCCTGTTACAGTTAGCTCAAAAGGGGAGCCTAGCGCAGAGGCAGGTGAAGTTAACAGATTTATTGAATAAATAAGATACGTTGAAGATGGGCTGAGGAGACCAGATGGCTGGTTGTGGTAGAGGGTTGAGAAGGAATGGCGAACGGCAAGGCGATGTGGCCGGTGGAGGTAGTGGGGAAGAGTTGGTTAGCAGGCAGGGAGGCAAACAAGCAGGGAGAAGGCACAATGGAAAGGCAGTTAGTGACAGGCTGGAAATCAAGATGAAAAACAATCACAAAGAGAGAACACGAGAAACTAGACTAAGCTAGACTACCGCTGAGCTGAGGCAATGATCTGGCCACGAGTAGTAGAGGAGCGGCAGGAGGGAAACACGGAGAAACACATGGGAACAGTAGTGAGGCACAGCCGTGATAGGGTCTGATGTATGTGTGGCCTTTGTCCTGTGAAGGAGTATGTCTAACAGCAGGTCTCTTCAGCCCTGTCAGCCTCGTCCCGATGGGACCGATCACAGACAGGTGCCTAACGTCTTATCTGTACCTGGCTGATAATGGTGTGTGTGTGTGTGTGTGTGTGTGGAGGTCAGGTGGGCTTTTCAGAGCCTGTTGAATAGTCAGGGTGCTGGCAGCAACCAGGCAACTGAAAGAGAGTGAAAGAAAAGAAAACAGAGTGTAACGCAGTATTTTAGTCCTGTGCTGTTCTGTTAAGATGAGTCCTAACATTACCAGAAACAATACACAGCAAATGAAATTCAACCAAAACATAAAGCATATGTTACTGAATGAATCAGGTAAATGAAAGTGTCAATATCTGTTACTGTCAGAGCATCTGGTAGATTCATATAGTGAATCTGTCAGTCCCAACACACCCAGAGGAGTGAATGCTAATTGCTGTAGAGACGACAGATGAGATAATATCCTCTGGAAATAAGCAAACAATACAATATGGTAGCATTTCCTTTAGAAAATAAAAACATTACTACATATTTTACGTTAGTTACTGGTCACAGCAGAGTAAAGAGTGTGATGAACTGTGAGAGGGTGAACTTTATTGCTTATGAATTCAAATTTAATTTGAGCGAGTGACTTTGAGAGACAACAAACGCTGGTTTCAGAACCAGTCAGAATCTGAAGGGCTCACTTTCTTATTCTCTTGTCAGCAGCAGGGTAATTAGATTAACAGCTGTTGATGCCTTCAATCAAATCAGCTTTTTGATAGATATATGGGAGTGTTAAATCTTCACATTAAAGCATTCACACAGAGTCACTTTTTATCAGCAGCCTTCATGATGTCACTCAGGCAGCAAATTGGAGAATTTGGATATATAAATATATAACAACATAGATATATTTATGTATAAATGTTCTGAGACACACGGAAAAGCAAGAATTGCCTGCAAGCAACTATAACACCCACACGCTCATGGTTGCACAAGTCTACAAGTACTTAAATAGACACATACCATATGTAGGTACACACAAACACGTACATGAACTAACACACATCTACTGTAGCATGTTTTTTTGTACGTTTTTTAGACGGCTAGCGGCTTTCAGCAGACTGAGTGAGAAAACTACTGCCACACAACCAGAGAATCTTCTTAATTTTTTTTTATCTGTATGTGTTTGACGGCTGAGTAGCGATGCCCAGGTACAGCCCGGTTGCCAGGGTAACAAGCCTGAGATATCAAAACAAGATGAATTAGGGAGTTTTTAATCACAAATGAAACATGGAGCCTTTTCGAAACAAAAACACCTTTTTTCACATCACTTAGGCAAAGGTTAGAATGAGATACAGCTGCGATGTTATCCATCTGTGATATGAATGAATGTGATGTATTGAAAAAGAAGTGGTATTTTGCTTTAAAACTGTTGCTGGTCTTTTTGCTGTTGTGTTGTTGTTGTTTTACTTGTGGAGCCAACAGCAGCGCAGAGATATGGCGTCATCTTTATATCCACTGTGCAAGAAACAACAGGGGGGTCATAAGTGGGGATTGAGAGCTCCCTTGGTGTGTGTGTGTGTGTGTGTGTGTGTGTGTGTGTGTGTGTGTGTGTGTGTGTGGACTTCCTAGAGTGATGTTGGGTGTTGCCTTGGTTACCTCATCCGGTCAAAACCCAGGACACCAAGTGTGGCTCGAGAGCAACCTTCAGAATTGAACACACACTGGTAGCCATGCGCGACCAGGGCATATGCTCCAATTGTTTTGCATCTCCCTCCGGACTTGGTTAATTGGGTAAAGGACATCTGCTGCTTCCAAATAAGTCTTCACTCTGCACATCAGTGTAACACAGTTATCGGTCATTCAGGATCATTTTAGGTTCACAGGAAAATGCTGCTTTAGCTAACTCTTTTACATTTGTGGTTAAACAAACAAAATGTAACAAGATTAAGAGTCGACAGCCATGATAGCGGCTCTGTGAGGCTCTACTTACAGATACAGCGGCGCTTTGAACTAAATGCTAATGCAGGCAACATGCTAACATGCTGACAAAGACAATGCCAAAATGCATATGTTTATTGCGTATAATGTTTTTACATCTTAGTTTAGTGTGGTAATAATAATAGCTATACACACACACACATATATATATAGCGCTTTAAAAGGTACTGAAAGGCACTTTACGTGGTAAAAGACAAAACAAGATCAGCATAAAACCACAATAACTACTTGAGATAACTATTTAAAAGACAGAAATAAAATGACAAAACAGGTTGAAAGCAGCTTTAAACAGATGGGTTTTTAGTGCAGTTTTGGTACTTGGGGCGAATGAGAGGGGAAAGGAGGTTGGCGTCTATGTGGATCTGAGGTTGTGGGTGGTTGTATGACTGTGTAGGTGGTCAAAGAGGTAGTAGGGGTCAAGGTTATTCAGAGTTCTGAAGGTGATGAGGAGGATTTTAAACTGGATTCTGTGTTGGATAGGGAGCATGCTAATATTTGCTAAGTAGGACTAAACACAAAGCATAGCTGTCACCTTATTACAGTTTATCCTGAGGGGAACATGGATAAGTGTACCATATTTCATGGTATTCCAATAAATAGTAAACAGACAAACAAAATAAAAAAAACGCAAACACCAACCTTATAAGGGAGCTAAAAGAAAAGTCTGGGTATCACCAAAGTCAGTAGGTTTCATCCCCTGGGGAACATGAATGTGTGTACAACATTTAATGGCAGTCAGTCAAAGTCTGGACTAAGTGGTGGATCAACATTGCCGTCCCTAGAACCAAAATGCTATTGTGGCTAAAAACAGTAAAGATAACAAATAAATGTCAGTATTTTTTGTACAGTCTATCTCAAAACAGCTGTATTTACAAGAGTTACCAATCAATTTAAAAATGGAGTAGCATTGCACTTTAAGAATGGTTAAACTCAATCCTGACTTTTAGTTCTAAAAATTTGTCAAGCTTCAAAAAATACTGAATCCTACATTTCCCATAAAGCAGCTCAATTTCACCTTTCATTAGACCTGCCCCCCTTTTAAATGTCCACGTCTTTCAATCCCCACTTCAAGTTTGTAACACTAAATGTGTCTGATTTCTCGAGCCCAAGCTGAGATAACCACGACGACTCCTGACCTCAGTAGTTTTTAAAATCCTGGCTTCGGCCTTGCAGGTAGCAGCTGTGTACCACTTTCACTATTGATCGGGTTTTCAGCGTCAGGGAATGTTGTTCAAGGTCAAGATGTCTGCTCTCCGGGAAGGAATAAACCTTAAAGAAGAAACCTTGTCTTAAGGAGATTTTTTCTCATTTTCTCTCTGGTGACACTTATTGGTACTAGAGAGAGCAGGTGGTTACTGCTGGCTTTCTGCAACACAGTTCATTTACACTGATTGTTAACTAGACAGCTACCACACTGTTGCTTGGCTCACACGATCCATCTTGGAGCTGGCACTGTAATTTGTGTTTGTGTAGTTAGTAATGTACTCTTCTGTCTCTTTTCCTCCTCAGAGCCTGTGTTATCCTAGGTGTGATTTTCATACTGTCCTCCTTGTGCATTATGGGTAAGGCCATCCACGACCTGGCCACCAAGCTGCTGCCTGAAGTGGTAAGAATTTATTGATCACCAACACGAACCCCAGATTTAAAAAGAGCTGAAAAAGCTGTGTGAAAGTTTTAGATTTGAAAAATATTTCACATTTTCCATTTATATTTTGATTAAGATTTGATATGCACTCATAACACAACAAAACACTATGTAAGACTGGATAATACTAGCTTAGAGTCTACTACCACATGTTTTTCTACTACATGACATCATACAGTATACACCAGTGTGCAGGAAATGGCTCTGACCGTGGTGTAGAGGTCAGAATTTGATTCAAACTGGAGATGGAGGGGAGCTTTGGATTAAAACATCCACCATATGGAACAGATTAAGTTATCCATTTAACACTCAGGAAAAAACCCTAAACACATTAACATTCTGTAGTACACTATGACAGCTGGATTACGGTCAGATGAACAGTTAAACAGGGTCATATAGCAGTTTTGTCCATCTCACTGAAGTCAGGCTGCAGAGTTTAAGCCAAAGGTTTGGTGCATAATCAGATAATTTGGTGGAATTTATGGCTATTTTTAAAGCTTGTCCTGATAGTAACAACTACTTTCTCTAGCCAGCAATCGTCTACTCTCCCCGCTGTAATACCACCAGTCTGCCAGAGACGAGGATTTTAAAAAAGCCCTGTTGATGTGTGTTTGTATCTAATAATATCCTCTCAAAATCTGAGTTTACTTCTTAGCGTCCAAGACAAACAACATGCAGGCAGTTATTCACGTGATTTGCATGAAGCTGCAGATCAGACGTGGCTGACTCACTCCACATCTTGCCATTTGAGTGGGCTGTATATCTGATAAGACGGCATATTTTAAGCTATTAGCTGTCACATGGTGCTGGTCACTTGAGGGTTGGTGGTTCAGACTTGACTGAGGCCAAGCAATATAGAGGGGAGTTGAGAGGAGGAGGCTGACTGGTGTTGACAGTTTCTCAGTTTTTCACACCTGCTATGTTGTTTTATTCATATTTGACTTTCACAGTATCTTCAGTTACATGGTGTACCATTCGCAAAGTAGCTTATTTGCTATTTTCCAGTCTCTAACAATAGTCACATTGTTTTGACTTACTATTAGCATTAATCAATATTTATCCTTTTAAAAATGCCTTAAAGTCCTTGATAAAAGTGATGTTAGAAAATGAGGAAGGAATGTCATCATCCTGCTGGCAGATTTCCCGTTTTCGGAATAATACGATTTTAAAGTTCCTGAAAAGTTGTGTTTTTAATAACGTCGAATAGTTTTGACTGGTTATGCAACAATCAAATTTATATTTATATATAAGTATTATTTAAGATTTTAACACTCAAAAACTCTAAAATCTAAGTTGCTAAATTCTGATTGGTGCACAGAGATATACGGCATCACATTTTTCCAACCCACTTCAAACTAGTGAAAAGAGTACAGAGGTAAAAAAAGACAGAAATAACATGTGAAATAACCAAAACAAAAACTGTTATTTGTGCAGAAGGTTGTGCGTTCATGTAGGACCCCATTGCTTATAGTAAGAAGCTAACTGAGAAAATTTAGGGCCTTTAAGATTGAATGGATTTTTATAATGGATTTCATTGCAGTGTGTGTGTGTACACATGTGGGTTAGGCTCATAAGGAATCAAGGAAGAATGTTGCTAATAGTAGCATTGTAAAAGTGAAAGGTGCATCCACATGTATGTGTGTGTATATATATATATATATATATATATATATACATATATATATATATATATATGTGTATATGTGTATATATATATATATATATATATATATATATATGTGTATATGTGTATATATGTGTATATATATATGTGTGTATATATATATGTGTGTGTGTGTGTGTGTGTGTATATATATATATATGTGTATATATATTGTGTGTGTATATATATATGTGTGTGTATATATATATATATATGTATATTAGTGCTGGCGAGGGTTAAAATTATTGCGATTAATCGCATGATTTTCTTGTGATTAATCGCGATTAAATAAATAAAATTGAGTAATGAATTCTAAAGCAGAGTATTGCACAATTTTAATTTAAATGTACTACTATATACACAAAAGAGCAATAACATGTGGTTTGCAAACAAATAAGGTGCTATTTACCAGCAGTATTCCCTTTACACAGTAGCAATAAAATATTTCTTTAAATCTCAACTTAAACATTAATGTAATCAAATATTAAACCAAAGCTATTTGCCACTGCCAGGGAATTACCTTTTATCTAGCTTGTTGCAAGTTACCATCAGAGTCCAATTTTCTTACTTTTTTTTTTGAACAGGTATCAGCATCAGGTATCTTTTATCACTTGAAATGACGTTACAAGTCGCGGTGGATATTTTACAAGCACAGACCAGGTAACGTTAAAGCAACATTGAACACAGGGTGCAGATGTTGGTTTTGGCTGATTGAGTTGTTTGATAGGCTGCGTCATTAACCAGCAAGTGGCTCACCTGCTGCTGTGATAACGGATCGCGAGTGGAAAAATATGGAAAGTAGATGACAGCGTAGTCTGCCGAAGCCTCCATTCACTGCTTGTTTGGGTGGGTGATTTGCAGGCTGATCAACATCCCACCCCACTGCGATAATACGCATTAACGTGCCCAACCCTAATATATATATATATATATATATATATACATATATACACATACCACCCTGCAAGGGGTGAGAGGGGAATGATTTTTATATATACTATGTGAGATATTTAATTTGTTAACATTTCAGCTTCCAGCTTGGAAAAAGGTGTACAAATTGTTCTGAAAACAAGCAGAATCATTGTGCTGCAGGTTTTGATTTTCACGCTGAACATTAGATTCCCCCCCTCCCCATCAATAACATGTGTGTGAATGTGTGTGTGACAGAGGTGTAACAGCGTTGTTGCTGCTGTCAGATGAAGAATGTCACAAATCTCAGGTGTGAAGACTCAAGAGCATTCACACTTCCTGAAATAGCTTCATCACCCCGTTGCTGGGCAATAGTCATCTCTGTAGAAATGCTGTCGAGGATCTGAACGTAATGATGACGATGAGTAAATATGAGAATATTATGCTTTAGTGAGCTGAATTACTGTAGAGAGTTGACTGTTGCTCTTTAGGCCCTTCAATGTCTCTTTGCACTTCAGCTCTGTAATCACAATCACATCTATGTCAGTTTGGTAAAAAAATGTTCTTATCTGTGTTACGTCCCGAGGTGTCTAGGGATATAGGGACATAAACATAAACCAGATGTTGTTGGTTTGAAAGGGTATTTATTTGAAATAATGCAAGTGGAGCACAAACAGAGGATGGGCCAATGGGTGCTGTGGAAATCAACAAACAATTATAACAAAAGGAGATCCTCAAAAGGAGGATTACTGCTTACAGAGATACTAACAAAACAAGAATAAACCAAAAGCTCACTAACCTACGGCATTTGAAAAAACACAACACAAAACGCACAGCACCCCTGAACCTGGTGAAAACTAACATAAAACAACTAGGGTGTGTGCAAGAAAGGTGTCAGTGATAGCTAAGCTTAGCCCTGGCCCACTCTCTTACCTTCACACAGTGAAACACACAATGTCAAGACACAAAGTCTAACACGGGTTACAAAACACTACTATAATCTCTAAGACAGGCATTCCCAAGGCAAGCAACTCAGGTCAGATTGCTGCCTCGAATGGCAGACCCCGCAGGCTTTTAAGCAGGTGGTGGTTGTCACGGTCTCCATCTGATTGGCCCGTAGAGCATGCCGCACCAATCGAGGGCATGGTAACTGGAAACCCAGGAAGTAGGCGGGCCTTCTCTCCTTGTGCAGCCAATCCTCCGCGTGGGCTTGCACAGCCTGCTCAGCATAACAGATAGTCCACTTGAAAGCACAGGCAAATACAGGTGGGGGCGGTGGCAGCCGTAACACCCCCTCCCATAAACACAAACTCCATGTTTGGGTGAAACACAACTCAACACGCCAACACTCACTGTAACCTGGACAAGGCGTCAGCCACCACATTCTCTGAACCTTTCTTGTGGCGGACATCTAAGGTGTAGTCCTGAATGATCAGGGCCCAACGCATTAGGCGCTGATTGTGGTTATACATGCGTGAGAGAAAAACCAGGGGGTTATGATCAGTGTAAATCACAATTGGCAGGGAGCTGGACCCAACATAGACCTCGAAGTGTTGTAAGGCCAACAACAAGGCAAGTGTCTCTTTTTCAATGGTGGAATAGTTAAGTTGATGTTTGTTAAATTTCCTGGAAAAGTAACACACTGGGTGATCGATCCCCTCTACATCTTCCTGTAAGAGAACAGCGCCTGCCCCTACCGCACTGGCATCCACCTCAAGCTTGAACGGCCTGGCAAAATCCGGAGCCGCAAGCACAGGTGCATGACACAGGAGCGCCTTGAGGCTATCAAACGCGGCTTGACAGTCTGAAGACCACACAAAATCAACCTTGGGGCTCAGTAAACGAGTTAGTGGCTGAGCAACAGTGGAGAAGTTACGGCAGAAAGCTCTGTAATACCCCGCCATTCCCAGGAACGAACGCAGCGCTTTACGTGTAGTGGGGGCCGGGCACAGTGAAATTACACAGATCTTTGCTTCAACAGGTCGCACCTGTCCCTGCCCGATCTGTCTACCCAAATAGGTGACGGTCGCCTTTCCAAATTCACATTTGGCTAAATTCAATGTTAGATTGGCCTGGGCGAGTCTACTGAAGACCTGTTCCAAGACGCGTAGGTGCTCCTTCCACGTGTCTGTATACACAATCAAGTCATCCAAATATGCGTTACAGTTACCCACTCCAGATAACACAGTATTCACTAGTCTTTGGAAGGTAGCGGGAGCATTACACATACCAAACGCCATGACGGAATATTGAGCAAAATGGTCTGGCGTAACAAACGCTGAAATAACTGCAGCACGGTCAGTTAAAGGTACTTGCCAGTAACCTTTTAACAGGTCCAGTTTGCTCACAAACTTGGCATTCCCCAGATTGTCAACGCAGTCTTCCATTC